GGTTTTACTCTAAAATTGGTATAAAATTAAAGCCTTATGTCTAAATAAGTTATGTTTCAAATTTGAAGTTGATATGAAAAAAAATTGAGGTTTCTGTGAGATAAAATAACCACCAAATATGGAATCCTGAGACTCAGAGACCTTGAGACCAGAGATCCTGAGACCTTTCGAATGATATGTTTTTTGTCAAGATTATAAAAAGTTTTGATTCTAAAAGTAGTTCAAATTTCTCCTACCTGAAGATGTAGCTTCTGGAATCATGACAGCCTTGGAGGAAAAATTAACAAGTTAGTATATTGGTATCCACACAATGCTGTTTGTTAATAAAACATCAAAAATATTTGGACAAAAACAAAAAAAGAAATTGATTATAGATGTCTTACTGTCTCACTTGGCTGGAATATAAAAGCTGATAAAAGAAAATTACACAATTTTACAACCCCCCCAATGACTCATCTTGAATATAAACACCACCAGTAATAATAATAACAACAACAAACAAACAACCATATTGTTTTTTTTATAATTGTTGTCAATGACTAGTCAGGAGTCATTCATAATGATTTATGTAATGAGTAATTAATTCCCTCATAAGCTAATTTAATTGTCTTTTGTCTTTTTCAGATTTTCATTTGCTTTCTTGTTTTTCAAATCAAAGACTGTAATGTTATGACTCAGAGCTAGTTGGTTTGTTCAAGGCTTAGAGCTTTTTATTAAAGCGTGTGTTTTTAGGAGCACAAGCGCTCCTAAAAAGAAAAATAAGTGTAGAGCCTTGTTGGTGAGCAAGTGATGTAATGCTAAATTTCTGCAAATCTGTTCAAATGAAGAAACAAACTCATTTACATCTTGAATGGCTTGAGGGCGAGTACATTTTCAGCAATTTTTAATTTTTTTGGTGAACTATTCCTTTAAAAATCAAATGACTCCTAGTCAAATAACTCCCAAATTGTAGCTTAAACATTTCAATAAATCATGATAGAGGAATGGTGCATGCATGTGCACAAAGTGTGTTTACTTATTAAAATACATTATAAGCAATCTTCTAGACTGTACAGATGTTCATTAATGACCATGTCATAGCACTTACTATTGTTAAGTAAAGTTGAATTCCCCTGCTCTGTTGAATCGCAGGACACACAAAATGTTGTACTGTTCTCCTGAACTTGAAGGAGTCCTAGAGGAGGATTCAAGGTTACAAAATATATATCAATCATACCAAATGTCCATGTCAATTACATATAACATTTCACAGGAACAAAATGTGCCTTGAAAAATATGAATTTGCTCATGTTGTATTAAAAATGCACATTTGTTTGCAGCTCTGTTTAAATTTTACAAAATGATATTACTTGAGAAACATACCAGGATCACAGAGTGTAATATTCACACAGGTTTCATTCATTCTCTTTATTCTTTCACAACAGTCATTGGAGTTTTCTAGCAGCGCCTGAAACACATACATAATCAAAACACATCAAGAATGGAAGCGATCTTAAATTCAGTTTTAGAGCATGGAATTACAGTAACCAATGTATTCACAATAGTTATGGCGCTCACATACTAAGAGTTGTGTGGAATTATCCCAAATATTCCTGAAGAGAAAAGACAAGAGATACCTTGGTCTCTGGAATTTCTAACACAAAAAGAGCAGCACTGAGGACGTAGTAGACTCTACTCATGATGAGATTAGTTACTCCTGTGGGTTAGATGGAGTCAATATGGATCTGAAGCCCATTATGTTTAAGTTCTAAAATGCCACAACTGGAGGTAAGCTGTTTTCTGTTAAACCTAACATGTCATTTTATATATTTAAATAAAAATTTAGGGTGGGGCAACATCAGGAGTGAGCCATCAAGGTTTTCTGTGAACAAACATTATACAACTCATCATCTCACGACTGGCCCCTTTCGAAACGTTTAATTCTACACTGATTTTTTTGTAAGTTTTTTTTTTTTTTTGGTGGGTGTATATTCTGTAAGAAAGCCCAATTTAACACCAGTTATAAAGACACACAGTATAAAAAAGCTACCCCACCAAACAAGTTCTTCAACAGTCTATTTACTGAGCAGCTGGCTAATTACTTTAGCTTGCTGTGTGGATAACTAGGATGTCATGATACAAAACAATCTATAAATAAAACAGAAGCCATGACTCTTTCGTTTACCGACGACATAATTCAGATTTTATGATAATAAACACGTGAACTTACCTGTGAAACGCAAGTTTTAATGTGTCAGAAATCTGTTGGCAAAGGGACTTCACTTCCTGATGAATAAACTACACTGCCAAAATACAAGTCTTTTACTGTTGTAGCGTTGCTATTAATAGATAGCGTTTATTATTTCATCATTATTAGAACATTTTAATTATTAATTTATGCGCAGGCTGTGATGCGAATTCCAGTTAGTAACTAATGTATGAAACGGATCTCAGAAGTCAATATCGTTGTAAGATTAGAGCTTTTATTTCTCGTTGCGGCATTAAAAGCGTTTCTACTGAAAACATATAGGCGTATTATAGTTTTTTTAAACTTTTTTTTTTATTTTAAATTTATAAAAAGTAATAAATTAATGGACATATGTGAGAAGCAATATCAGAATGAGTTGCTTTACATTTTCTAAGCTCTATGACTTGTATTATGAAGACACTAGCTTTTGTAGTTTTGGTTGTTAGAATACAGTTTAGTCTCAACGACTCGGTTTATGGTGAACCCTGTTTTTATACAGTCTATGGGTGAACCACACCGCTTTTCTACGCAGAAGCATGTTATTGTAGTTGTGCGATTGTTTAACACGATCAGTAATCCCTAGAGTAGTGGTGAGATTTTCACAAATCCCCACTATACCACCGCACTAAGCTTTTAAATGTCACAAGCATATAACTATTAGATTTAGCTACATGAGACACTGTACAATGCCATCATAATGTCATTACAAACACGCAATTTAATAAACTGCAGTGCAAAGTGAACTATAGCGTAAATAAATAACTGAATAAATGTATGCAAAAAATGCATACATACTAAAATGAAATAAACCTTAAAAAAAATGATATATCATCCATTTATACAAATTTGGTACAAACTACAATATTATTTAGTATTTAAATATTCAAATAGCGCCATCTAGCGATCTTTCCTAGAAATAATGAAGAAACTGAAAATGTTTACCGGCTTCTTGAACTACCGGTATTTAAATTCTGTAGCCCGGGAAAACCGTAACTGCCAGCATCAGCGAGCGCCAGAATTTATTTACGTTGCTTCAGAATCATTACTGCATATCAAACAAGTAATTTTCTGGTAAGTAGCATTTCTTTGAAATGAACTAAATAAGTGTAGCCCGTGAAACGGTGGTTTACTCGCTAGTTTGTCATGAAAACTAGCTCAGCTTTGATGACGGCAGCCGTCTGCGTCGCGCGAGAAAAGTCATTTGTGACACTTGGGGTTCGCTCAGATAAATTCTAGAATATTTTTTAAACAAAAAAATCATTGTTTGAATCAATACACACAGACAAGTGTTTTGCAGTAGTTTTGATTTCATGTTTATTATTTCTAGTGGAAATAAATGTGTTGACATTCAAAGCCTGGATATGAAGCCCAATGTCTGGAATATAAAGGAGATGTTGAATATCCCCGCAACTTCTGGGTATGTCTCATAATTGAATTCTGTACTAGAGAATTTGTCAGGTAACTTTTACTATTATTTACACTTACCCAATTAATTACCTTGAAATAGGGCCTAATAATGTAGTGTTTATATTGATGTTTATTCTGCGCTCTGTTTGTAATAGAGGGATAAAAAATGGTAAGGGACCGGGAACCAGTGACTACTCCAGCCTGGGTGACTCCCAGTTTCTGTTGGGCTCTCAAATGTGGCCTGACATTTCACAAGGGTTTACCCAGGAGATGAGTGGACAGAGCGGAGGTTCTCAGCATACCTCACAGGAGGTAAATATTTCAGGCATAAACTATTTATTTGGTCTGTAGAACATGCCATGTTTTGTTTGGTATAATATAATGAACATGTTCTTGATTTTTTTTTTTTCTTGGTCCACAAACCTTTAATAAATGAAAATTAATGTGACATTCTTGTAAACAAGTCTGTAAAATGTAATAATATTTTAAATTTCATATTAATTCCAAATTGTCTAAATCCTCTACAGATGAAGGACATTATGGTGTCCAGCAGTTATAGTTCTAAGCCGTTTTTGTTCGGTGGTGATGGCAAAATCTCAAACTTCACTGGTGGCAAATTTGTTGGCATGTTGGACAGATTTGAGGATGAGAAAAGAAAAGCCAAAGAAAAACATGAAAGGTAGTCAGTCTATTCTTGATCCTTGTGCAATGAAAAACTATTCTAACCATCCTGGTGTCTGTTTTTAAGTTTCCTATTGCAGTTTTTCACGTAGCTCTGGTTCTGTCCTGACATATTGTTTAATATAATTTTTTCCCTTTTTAGGGAAATTCTCACTCATGGAATTCTACAATTGCAGGAATCTCTGGAAAATGTAAGTATTGTACTTAAGGCACTCATGCATATTTAACACATTTAGAATGTCTATATTGCACAAAGTCATGGGCTTAATACTACTGGACTTTGACTTACATTTTCCCTTTTAGAGCAGAGAGACTTTGTTAAATCGCATTGATGGAAGTAATGACATAACCAAAGTTGTAGTGGAGAAAATGGATACTTTTTCAAAAACAAGTATGTTTTTGTTTGTATGTTTTACTTATTCTTTTAACTAAATGCAGATGGTTCTTAACAGTTAGCCCATGCTGGCACCCTAAATTCCACAAATACCATATCATCAAAGATAATTATTGATCATATAATAGCAGATACATATTTTAAAAGTATTTTCAATGTTGTAGCTGTTATGTATAAGCCTAAGACATTATGTTGTCTATTGCAGTTAAAGGTTATTTAAACAGTGTGAACGAAGGTATAACATGTCAGTTTGAGACTCTGCAGAGCCAATCACAAAAAGAAATGGCAGACAGGGAAGCCAAGGTAAGGACTGCATATGCGGTATAACAGATGCAAAGCTAATACTAATGTATTTTATACTGGCTTTGGTAATAAAGCTACATTTATTTTCTATTAAATAGAGCAGTCTGGCTGCAAGAGAGTTGAGCTCAAGCATGTTTAACCTCCAACGGGATCTGGAACATCTGAAAGCAGAGCAGAGCAAGGAGCAGGGTATGCTGGGAAAAATTCTGTCTCAGCTTAGCACTTTGATTTCTATTCACAAGCCGATGACAGGACCTGGCTCTGCTAGAATGATTGACAGTGAGGTCCAGACATCACCTGGTTTGTTAGAGAGGTTCTGTGTCATGTCAGCTGAAAAACACCACGAGAGCCAGATGATATGCAACAGGCCTGTCATTTATTCAGGAAAAGCAGTAGAACAGAACCAGTGTCCACTTACAACACAGAAGTCACAAGACAGAAATTCACATGCTCTGCCTGTAGAAAGACAGCAGACAGCAGTCACAGATGAGGATTCCCCTGATGCTTCGCAGAGATTATGGTGCAAACAGTTAGTTGAGACCAGACCTTCAAGCCCACATGTGGATGTTCAATCCACTGCATCCATAGAGGACCATGGAGGACAGTATGTAGATAGACATCTGGAGGCTGAAAAACCGTTGTATGTGAGAGATAACCGATTTGTCACTGATGCGATGCCACCACTGAAAGTACCTAGGAGGCGCCAAAAACCACTGAATTATAGGGGGAAAAAGAGAGCCTTGGTTCTCCCACAAAGACAGCTGGTGAGAAAAAAAGGAGCGATGAAGTTCTCAAAGGACAGCCAGCAGAATATAGACCTTCAGTGTGAACAAAAAGACAGAGTACCTTTGGCTTCTCTTTGTGACAACTGGGAAATGACCTACAAGTCTGCTGCAGAGAATCACTTAAAACTACAGCAGCAAGCCACTGTAGCACCAATCAGTAGGTGTGTAGCTGAACAACCACTAAACCCCTTCAGTTTGTGGTCTGAAGACACAGACAGCTCCCAAATGATGGTGGAATACAAGATGGCTGAATGGGAAAATGTGGTGCCTGAATCTAAAATTAGTGTCATAGACGGAGAAGGTGGCCTCTGGCAGCTCTTTGACTTTACTAATGACTCAGACTAAGATGCAGAATTCTTCAATATTGTATTCTGACTATGCTTACATATGATAAATTGTTTAGAGTATCTGTTCATTTTTAAAAATGAATTGAATTGTGAACAAGCAAACCTGGTTCTCTAACCACTTTCCTTGCTATAGACATCTGTTCTTCTTCTGTTGCTTTGCCTTGTTAATTCTTTTTGAAGTATGGATATTATAAAAACTTAAAGACAAACAGGCAGACTTTACTACATCTAAAAGTATTTTGTTCTATTTTACTTGTACCGTATGACTCTTAACGCATTAACATTCAAGCACATTCTGTAATTTTGGCATGTCATATTCGAGAAATTTGTGCATAATTTGATTTAGCCTTGAAAATATTTTAGACAATCTCAATGTGACATCAACAGGTACAAAATAGTTTTAAAACATATTCAACTTTGTTTTCAGTTGGAACTTGACATAGATTTAGCTGTTGTTAAGTTTGACAAATTAACATGTTTAGTAAATTGCATCGACTGCTTAAAGTTACAGTACATGTACTGTATTGTGCAACTCTGCAATACATTTTTACTTTGCTTGTAAATAAAATCATATTTTAGCACAGCGTCTTGCAGTGTTACTTAATCTGAGCTGTAAATGATGTGAGAGTTTCTCATATCCTTCAGCATGTATCTGAACTCATACTATATACCTCAGCTATTAGTAATATTATCTGAAATCCAAAAATGTAAAGCATTTCAAAGTTACAATCACTAAAGTACTTGCAGCATTGTAAATCAAAAATGTTTTCATAACTATTAAAGAAAGCCTTCCTCTACAGTTTTCTGATAGTTCTGTCTTGTGAATGAAAAAAAGCTTTTTTTTTTTTGTATGAGAAATCACTGTTGGATAGTGTTGTCATTCCTCTACCAAGTCAGCAGGAGGGGGCATGAGTCCACGAGGATTCAGATTTGCCACCAAACACACATCGTAACTGTCGTGCATCAGCACCTGCTTTGCCACCACAGTCCATACGTTTTCCCAGGGATCCAACTGCAGGATGTCTTTAGTGATGGTATCGTGACGATCTTGGAAAAGAGTGGAGTACTTACAGTGTTGTCTAATATGTTTAATTCAATGTAAATGAGTGTTGAATTGAATTTTGTGATTGCATGAATTTAACTTCAAGTTGAAGGCTGAAGTAAGTGGACTGATATTGATATTACAATATTTACGTATTTTACCTGCTCCTTTGTAGTATCCACAGACATAAAGTTTTCCGTCAACAACACCAGCATTTGATGCATTGCTGCGAAGTGATAGGAGAGGCCATGGTAAAGGAGAACCGTCCCTCCAGAAATCCCCATCAGGGTTGTAGATCTCCACTACATTAAGGCAGTGACGTGATTGGCCACGATCCACACCTTCACACCCAATACCACCTGCAGGAGTAGACATTGAAATTCATTCATGGGCTATGCCTAGGTTTTGATATTACTTTTTTTCCTTGAGGTGAACAAACATGCAAAATTGAAACAAGCAACATTTTTGAAGAATGACATCAAGTAAACACATAGGTGACATTATGCTTTCATGAAAGTTAGTGAACCACTGTAATAATGATGACTACTGTCATAAGCTTTATTAAGTTAATCCACAGGTCTCACTCTATGGAAATATTAACCCATAATCACAAAAACTGATACTTTCAAATAACATGAGTTATCACAATTTACTCATCCTGTTAACATTCTCACCAAGTACATAGATTTCCCCACTGAGTGCAACTGCACTGCAACGGTATTTTGAATATTTCATAGGGCCAAGTTCACTCCACTTGTTGGTTTCTGGGTCATATTCAAGCAGGCGATTACTCATTCGGTCAGGCTCGTCATCTGTGTGGTATGACTGTCGTTCATGAGACATGGCAGAACAGGTGCATTAGAGAGAAAGAGAGAAGGCAATAAACAGTTACTGTGATCCTCACCTTGTTTTTATTTTCCAAATTATAGTGATTTATATTGTTTGCACCATCGATGTTGCATTCTCATGACTCTTCTTGTGCAATATATTTGCAGATAGTACCATAAAGATGACAAATTTGCTCTGTTTTGGAATATTACCTGTGGCGTCCGTCCCCCGAGCACATACAGGTGGCCCTTCATCCGAACTACGCTGTGATAGGCCAGGGGCATGGGCAGAGGGGCAGCGCTACGCCATGGTCCACCCTGTAGAGACCAGCGCTCAACACTGTTGGTGATGAGGAACTGGTTCTTCAGCTTCATTTGACCCCCAATCAGATAGAGGTTTTCTCCCAAAGAGCTCAATGCGTAAGAATCACGATACTCTGCTGAGCTCAAGTGTTTCCAGGATCCTTGAGCTTCCTTGTTGTACCTGAAAGGGACATAGCAAATATTAGATACTTGAATTGTAAGTTTTATTGTCTGTAATAATGTGATTGATTTAATCTAATTTTAGTTTTAAATTCTAATCTTAATTTTAGGTACCCATGTCTAAAGAACAGATTAGTTTAAGGTTTGGCTGCATATATTTGATGTTGAAAACATATTATATAATTGTCATTTTCTCCTGCCAAAGCCTCACATGAAAATCTCGACATTTCTGTCTTTCTGTCTTGACATCCTTCTTGCTCCGAGCTCTCCTGCAACAATAATGTAATTCCTCTCAGTCACCACCCCAGCAAAGACATATCCAAGCGCATCACCATATCGTGGGGAGGTGATGAAAAGAGTTCGGCCTGTTGTGGGAGCATAACAGAAGCTATGCTCTGTATAGCTTCCATAACGTGAGCGAATGCCTCCGCCGTCATTACCAATGCAGAGCAGGAGGTCTGTGGTCTCCATGCCATAGCGCAGCTTCAGTCGACGGGGTGGAGCATCTGAATCCAAGCTTGCTGCTTCAGTAGCCTCTTCCATTATCTGAAGACATTCGGCATCAGCTAGAAGTGCTGTGTTCCGTTTCACCGTCCCCTTCAAGTAATCTGCACCCACCAGTGGAAGACGTACCTTCTTTAAGAGCTCTGGAAGGTGCCTGGCCCGGTTCTCTTCCTCTGGCCCTATACCCCCCGGACAATACTTCACCCAGCGCATCACCACATCCAAAATACTCTCTTCCCGTGAAACATTAAGGTCGTCTGAGCCCAATAACCCCCCTAGCTGGTGTGCCTCCAACTCCAGTACTTCCTCCCCAAGGCACACTTCAGTGAAGTGCTGCCGCAGATAGCGCTGAGCCTGGTCGGCCAACTCTTCTGCCCCTAGATCGCGAGCATAATAATAGATGCCCAGGCAATTGGAAGCATCCATGTTGTCAATCATGTAGATCTGACAACGACTGAAAACTTCATCCATCTGTAGAAGAAAAGCAGCAACAGAGATTCCCTGCACATTGGCTGCAGTGAGTGGAAGATTGGAGCTGTACATGTATTCCAGCAGAAGGGCCAGGCTTGGGGCCGGCATGTCTCTTAACACCACCTGACGGTTGGTACACTCTCGCAGGCCACAGGTGAACATTACGCGGAAGTAGGGGCTGAAGGCAGAAAGCACCGCACGGTGGCATGGGAAGCTAACACCTTCAGCAACTAGAACCACATCTGTTAACTGCTCAGCATCCCGCATTCGATTTAGCTGTTCCAACAGCGTCAAACCATGCCTGGCTCTCAGATCCATTTTGTTTTTTGGTCTCTTGACAGCTTAAAACTTAGAGAAGTGTTAGAGAAGAGAAGTGTAGCCTAAATACATCCTGGAGATCCTTCAGAAGTGTCAAGGAACTTGTATCTGAAGAGATAAAAAACAAATGATTAGCTTATGCAGCTAAATGACAACTGGCAGGAACATACTAGTGCAGCCTTTAATGAAAAGTCCACAGAATATTATTGAAAGTTCATTTTGATGCACCAATAATTTTATCTTGCTCTAAGGGTCAGTGCTAAACAGGTCAATGCTCCGACATGTCAAAAGAAGGCAGTTATTGTTGTATCAGTCACATTATTGGCAACAAGCTGCATTATATTAGCACATGCATCAGTGAATCGTACCAGATCTCCGGCTTCCTGTGGTGTCTGCCTTCAGGCAACAATTTGTCCATTACCCACAGTCGACACAAACACGCTGGCTGCCTTGTGTCTGACAGTAAACACTGGGAGAGGGAGCATGCTCAACCTTCCATGCCCATTCGAGCTAAGCAACAGTGCTAATTATAGACCATGATTTGTCAAACTACCGAAGTGGGGAAACAAGAAAAAAATATTCAACAAGCATTCTTGAACACTGAACATTACTTGTTATTACAGTATGTTTAGAAAGTTTTATATATATATATTGTCATTTTGCTTAGTGTCTTTGCAATGCTTATGTTTTGGTATTTCTGGCATGAAATCGGGGGAAAGGCCCTCAGTGCATGAGAGCTACGGTCAAATTTCACCCCATCATGCTCTTAAAGTGACTACACAATCTATGTGTAAGCATTTGTTCCTTAATGCAGCTTCTTAACAATGACTTGATGCAATTATAGCTATTTCTGAATACATAAGTATTATCCTATTATTGATTAAGCAGAACTATGTGATTTAATTATTATTTCTTAAAGGGGTCATATGATGCGATTTCAAGTTTTCCTTTCTCTTTGGAGTGTTACAAGCTGATTCTCCAAACAAATTGATTTCTTAACATAGCTCCCCAATGTTTATTTGTGAATATAAATGTAGGAACTTAAGTGTAATCGGTACAAGTCAGAGGCCTAAACTTAAGTCTACTTGATTATTAATTAATATATTAACCACAGAGGACAGAAGTTAAACCATTTACCCCCACCCCCCAACCCATGCCATTTATTTTAAGCCCTTTTAAGGACCACTTAATGTGTTGCAAAATTACAGGATGAATGACGTCAAAACATCTCTTACTGTCCTTTTTTTTTTTTTTTAAGTCATCAATTCATAATATGCTGCACATCATGATGGAATTTTCTACCGGAACAAAAAAAATTTCCATTGCAGTTCACCAGTACAAAAACTAACGACTAATGAACAGGAGGAAAGTCTGAGTCAGCATTTGCACTAAAATAAGACAGTAGTTGAAAGATAGAACTTTATCCATTAAAATTATTATTCACTATTATTTGTTCTTAAGTTAATTATTGGTAGAAAGCACAGCCTCTTTTTAATACTAACCAACCCCACTATCTTCTCTTTTAAATAACCCTCAGAGGTTTAGAGGTAAATCATAGATGACTTGCAGAAAGTCTTATGAAGTTTTATCAAGACTGAGGTCAGTGTAATTTTGTGGTTTGTAATTAAGTCTCGACAAAGACTATTTACATGACATATTTTATGACAAAGACTATAAATAGCTATATAGCACAAAATAGAGAAAATGGACTCAGGACATACAGAGTATCATGTACAGAGAGAGGTTATAGATGAACAGAGGCTGAAAGAGCGATCTCAGAGAATGGACTCTTCCCAGACCAATCTTCCCATCACTTGTCAGCTGAAGAAATCACTCAGGTAGGATACAGTCATTAAAGCGAGATGTTTTGTTGAGAACAATTAGGCAGCATTATTTTTAAGTGCTATTAACTGACACTGATTTCAATCTGTTTATTTTTCCTTTCTTTCTATACCAGACTGAAACGTAGCATAGTTGGACTCTTGCCTGTTCGGTCCTGGTTGCCCCGTTACTCCATCTGGGATTATGGCATGCCAGACCTTATCTCTGGCATCAGTGTGGGCATCACGCACCTTCCACAAGGTAAAGCATGTTTCTGTACTTTTTAATGAGCTACAATATAATCTTCATTTGTGGGTGTTTAAGACATTGTGTTTGTGCGTTTTAGGAATGGCCTATGCTTTGCTGGCCTCATTGCCTCCAGTATTTGGACTCTATACATCCCTCTATCCTCCATTAATTTATTTTATTTTTGGGACCTCCAGATACATATCTATAGATGAGATCATTTATCTTTAAACATGGCTGAAAATTATTAAATCCGTTGATCTGAGCTTCACCTTTGTGGAGAAGGCAATTTCAGAATGCATTCTGATGAACTGATATGTGAAAACATATATTTATGAAATGTTATTTTATAAAAAAAAAAAAAAATTAAATAATGAAAAATATTGATAAAAATAGTTGTGCAATTACAAATGGATTATTTTACAAAATATTTGTGTGTGCTGTGTATATTTATGATTATTACAGTATCACACCAACTTAGCAAACTTTATTGAAATCAATTGTTAGTGTGTGCCAATGTGAAGGTTCCCAAAACAGTCACTTATAAAATAATAATTCCATAATGATTAAGTCGCTATGTAGGCAGCAAGCAAGGCAACATGTCTAATGTCAAATACTTGCAGCATACATAATTTCTCAACTCTGGGAACTGTCTCTTTCATTCTTCCTTTACAGAAAATAGCTTTCAGGGAAGCCTCTCAGCGATCCAAAAAAGCTGTATTTTCAGTGGAAGAGGAAGCAGGGCAGTTGAGGGAAACAAATGGAGACATATACAGAGAGGTAGAGCTTGGCTGGAGAGAGTGGGAAAACAGTACAGTGTTCGTAATACCGGAGACAGCGAGGACATCCGATGGCCATCACACCTGGATGTACCTTAAGGGTACTGACCCTGACACCGCCACCCTGGGGTCAGTGTCAGATCTACATGATGGGGACACCAGCACTCTAGACTCCAGCAGCGAAGACACTTTAAGCCTAGACCTGGAAAGGGTTTCTCTGGGATCCCTTGGGAAGTAGACCTGGGACATCCATTCCATCATCTTGGATTTTTCCACTGCTAACTTTATTGATACTGTGGCCATTAAGACATTAAGGAATGTAAGTGATTCAAAATTCTATGAGAGCAGTGACTTTGCATTGCAACCGAGCACTCATCACCATCTCTTTTTGTAGAAATTCCACGATTTTGGTGAGATTGATGTGGATATCTTCTTGGCAGGCTGTCAAGGTTACAGTGGACTTAAAAAAAATCAGCCTTCCTGTCTGATGATTTATTCGGTCAATGACTGAAAAATATCTGGGCTATGCTTTGTTTTCACCCAAGCACTGGTGGTGGAACAACTTGAATGTGGTGGCTTCTTCTCTGATGTCTTCACTGAAGGAGGTGTCTTTGCTACTGTGCATGATGCAGTTCTGTATTGTCTCAAACATTGGGGAGCTAAGACGGTCCACAGCTATGAGAATGTTCTAGTAGGTTCACCAATATATGCTCTCACTAATATCACATTCACATAGAGTATACAATTCATGGAATTATTGTAGAATATATACATGATTTCAAACTTCTAATTTCAGGATATGAGTGGGACCCGACTATGATAGAAATCGTCTGAATTCTTCTTCTTGTTCTACAAGCTCTTCTGATTTTATTCAAGCTATATAAAAAAAACTAAACCTCTCCATGAAGTTTCAAATAGAATTTGGCTCTGCAGTTGACACTAATGAAACATGTCTGTTACTTTTTTTCCCCATTTGACTGTGAAACATAGGCTTTAAAATGTATTTAATATGTTTGTGTTTGTATTGTATTTTTTGTTTTTAGTTTACTAGTGAAGGATTGTTGTGAATTATACAGAAATCATTTTATGAGAATCTGTTTGCAAAATGTCAAATGTTAAAATAGAAAATGCAAGTCTTTTTTGTCCTAATTTCTGATTGGTCATTTTAATAATTTATTTGACAAAGTGATTCTGTGCATTTTAACAGCAATAATGTGATTCAATTCCAACAAATAAATAAAATAAGTTAACTTCAGTCAATCTTTGGATGCACTGCAATTAACAAAGAAAACTTTACAAAATAAATTACTGAAATCCAAATGAATCATACAAGATTGTGCGAGTTTTACATGCTTCTTTTCAGGAATATCTGAGAGGGAACAAGTGTAAGAAACATCCTGGCAGAGATGGAGGCTGACTATATGTTACATAGGTTAAAACTCTTAATCATCATTTTTTGTTAATAGTTATGATTAAAACTAACCTGTAGTCCATTGACAGAAAAAGTCACTACCGAGTGTCCCTGCAGATAACTTTCCTCAAGTGTTTGGTGATTTAGATGTCAGTGTAAATGTCACTTCAGCAGAAAGCAATAACATACATTTTTTCCACACTCTTTGGCCAGTACACACTACATCCTCCAGCAATTGTGAAGTTGCTTTAGCACTGAGAGTGGTTTATTTGCTGCAAGTCGCCAAAATCGCTAGACAAAACGTAACAGGGAAGATCTACACATCTTGTATGCACTTCTATTTACTATCACTGCATTAACGATTATCTGCAGTGTGCACGGCCTTTGGAAAGTACAGTAGAGTGTCATTCTGTATGTAAACAAAGTTGCCGAATATGGCTGCATTCCCATGAAAAAATAAATAATAATGCCTTCAAATATCTACATTAGGAGCAATAGCATTGTCTTTCACAATTGCATAATGCTCAGGCTGCTTATCCCTGAATCCAACCCAACAAAAATTCCAGCTCTGACACTGGGACCGCTGGAGGTTGAGTAAAGCTCATTCAATTCTGAAAATGAGGAAATGTTGGTAGGGCTACAATTCTTTAGTGTGCATTTGTGTGTATGTAGGGAAGAGCGAACCAAATATACAGTACAAAGTACGAGTGTATTTTTGTGTTTGTTGGTATGAGGTCAGTGCTTCAGGGTGTATAATTGATGCAGAGACATGAGTGTGTGTATAGTGATTTTCCACTGGTAATGTACTGTGTGTCTGGATGTTTATGTGAAAGAGGAAGTGGGTGACTATATATAGATTGCAACACAGAAGTGAATGTGTATATATGTGCATTGTTGTACCTGGATGTATGCAATTACAGGTCTTGGTGTCTTTCTACGTGCTGGTCTGAGTTCAGTTCTGAAATGAGTTCTTCTTGCTCTTGTGTCTCTTGTTGTTGAGAAACAAACTGTTGGTAGCGTGCCTGCCGCTGGTAATCTGGATCGACATTGATCCAATTATTGGCAACCCACTTAGTCCCTTGTGTCACCACACAGCCACCATGAAGAGAATACTCATCCTGTTCACCAACCCAACCTACAGAGGGCAGCACAGCACAACAAGATAATGAACAACATTTTCTAGATAGAGTAACTTCTTAAAGTGGGTTCAATCAAGTGACATTTAAACAAATTTATGACTAAATGTAACTCCACAAAATGCTCACTGGATCTTTCTGAAATCATGCTGGAGATGGATTTATAGATTTTGAACAAAGTTGTGGAGTTCATTCCAGCTTGAATGCTGCTATCATTAAAGAAAATGGGAACTAAGACATTCTGAAATTTAAACGAATATTTAAGTTAAACTTTTCACTCAAGTTGTTATGG